GATAATATATTACTAAAAGTTATTTCTTTTTTGCTTGACAATTGAGTTGTAAGAATAATGTAAATGGATTACATATAAATTATCTGAATAGCTGTTAAATTTTAAAATCGATAGTGTTTGTTAGTTGAAATTGTGGGAATTATATGATTGATTCGGCTGTCCTAATAATCTCGTGGAAACATTATATTGCCAACATTATATTACTTCTTCCGTTGATACGTCGCACTATAATTTTGTATTATTATGAGTATGGATATATATGTACAAACATGCTCATAATCTTCCTTCTACAGTATTATTGGTATAATACCATATTTTTTTGTATACTGCCAGATTTATTTTAGTAAATATGACTGAGGTGTGTAGATGGCGAGTAAATTATTTTTTTCCAGCCTTTGTTTTTTTTTACATTAATTTACAATTATAATAATCTTTTTTATAATAGGCATGTTTATTATATAATATTCATTATTTTTTATTACGACTATTTATGATTAGACGTGTGTTTGTATATATTAAGGCACAACAGAGAAAATGTCTATGTAGGGGCTTGTGTGGCTCAGTGGTATAGTAATTACCTAGTAAGGGAAACTAAAAGACCAGCTAAATCTCAATTCGAATTCCTATAATGTCATGAGTGTCATGATATTGTCAGTTTACACATATGCATAACATTATTGAGTAACGTTTTGGGTATCACTGGTCGATGACATCCGACTTCGTCGAGGCCTGGTCTCTGAGTTTCATCTACTAGGCAGCCACTTTTCAAAATGATGAGCCATACCTCAAAATGACTTGCTCAAAATGTCTCGTTTCTCGATTTCTTATTTTAATCGAAGAATTTTCAGCATGACTCGCTTCAGTCTTTCATATTCGATGTTTTTTATTTCTTCTTATTGGAATGGCTTTGCCTAGTGCGATGTTGATCTCCTTGTGATCTCTATTTTTTTGTATTATATGAAATATCAGAAAAATCACATTTTCAAACACATTTCGAATTTTTTCTTCTAACAAGCCGAGGCGTTTTTAGTTTCTCACTCTCCACTCTTTTAAATTACAAATTTTTTGTTATCTGATTTTCTTATCTCCCTGAAGAGGATGCTTTCTGGAGAATATTCTTGCAACGAAGAGACTCGGAGCCCCCAGCACAAAATTAAGCGCGAGGTGAAACTGTTTCGCCATGCTCTCCCGCGAAATGATTGATCGCCGTCGGAAACGGCCGGCAGCTTTCGTGCGCAAATAAAAAGGCTTGGCCTCCGTGTACTCGAGTAGTGTTATGTGTATATGTATAAATGGATTTAACCTTCCGCGCGCTTCCACGCTGGAACTGCGAGCGAGCACGGGCGCGCGGGGGCGGAAATTAATTATGTTTGTTTAATTTCGAGATGAAAAAAGCAGCTGGCACTGCCTCGCCCATGCGGCGTTCGTGTGGCTTTAATCCGGGAAAAACGAGAAGAACGAAGACAGAAAGAGAAAGAAAGAGACAGTCGTTGCTGAAATTACTCTACATGAAGGCTCTAAAAGGTACTGTGAAATTTGATTAAATTTTAAGCAGTAGTTTAACAAATGTATTTCGATTTTCACGTGGGAGACCGATACAAAAGATAACTACATATGCATGCTTAATCGTCAGTATATGACACAACAGTAAAATATATACACATGTACGTACATTGATGGATCCAGGAATTTATCAAGAAGGAATACGTCGTAAGTGAATTTTTTTTAAGATCAAATATAAAAAGATAGAGTATTAAATTATTATTTTAAAAAACTTACTGAATTTTTGTTCAAGTTATCTTAAACAAAATAACTTTTTTATTCAAAATATCTTTTTAATTAATAATTCTATTTAAAAAATAACAGTATGCACACACTCAAACCAAACACTGTTATATGTATATTATTATAAATTATATTATTATAATGTTATATATGACAACAGATAAAGTTTATAATAGTTCTAATTTTCTATAACTCCGCATTTTTTCACCGAAATTGCTCGGTCGCTTTGAGTTTTTAAACTTAGTTTTTAGGATTGTTACTTTGGACAATTCGAATCTTTAAATTTAAAGGTTTAATGCCTTTGAAAAATATATTCGTGCGAATAGAAAAAAGGCTAAATACGTAGCTGCCTCGCTGTTTCGGTTAGTTAAGCCGCTCATTAAAAAGAGGAAGTAACGCGATACATATTAGCGGAAGAATATTAGCGACATGATTAGGTGAACGCCAGAAGGTGCAACGTGAATCGATGTATCGGCATGCCATCGGTCACGTCGCGACGTCGCATGCTTGTCGTTCTCGCCGGATATTGACGCCTCACGCTCGCATTTCCTCGTGCAGACCGGAAAATCACTGGCGAGACCCGGGAAAAGCGTCCTATTAACTATGTCGTGGATGGAGTTGTCCACTTCTTATTAGATTATTCTCTCGCGTGTCTTTACTTACGTGAGAGCATGCACGCACCTATTTTACGACATACGAGTTGAGAATTGTATAATTGAAATTGATGTGAGATCGCACGCGAATGTCACTCAGGAAATCACCTGCCTTTTCTCACTTTTCTTAATCATGACACTTGAATTAATGATACGTGTTATATATACCAGTAACGAAAGGAAATATCATTCAACATAGAAAGACTGACTTTGTTGAAATATGCAAAAATTTAATTACATACAGATCTAACAATAATCATGTTGGTTCGATTAATTTAATCACACTTTGATTGTAATTCAGAAGTCCGTTATATCTGACAGGAAATCTTTGTAGTAAAAATATTACGAAAGAAGAAGATAAGGAGTGTAAAAAATTTTATGAAATAAATTTTTTAATTAGATATTATGTACCTTACTTTAGAGCATAGAATGCCGTTTAAATTTCATTACTTTATTGCGTCTCTCTTGCTTTTCCTAAACAACCGATTCGGATTTCAGCAAATAACGCGTGCCTTCAAGATTTTCTTGGAAAAGATTCGAGGGAAATGATCAAAGGAGCTTTCTTGGGAAAATGTACGCGGACGGAATGTGTAGTAAAACGCAAATTTGTTCGAAAATACATTCGATAAACAATCGGAGTATTTTTATTGAATTTATTTCTCAGATTATCGTAAGAGAAGTAAATATACCTCTAAAAAGTTTTTATGAATTAAAATATTGAAATATTGATATATAAAAATAAATATTAAAATACCGGTAATAATAATAAATTAATAATTAAAAAAACAAGAAATAATCAAAAGATTAAAAGTATGATGTAAAGAAATTTCTACAAATCATAAAAGAATATTAATCGAACAGAGTTGAACTTTAGGTAGACGTTCCAAAAAATTCACCATGTCGTTTCGAAAAACCTGCTAGACGCAAATTTCTCGCTTTTCTTGATATACGATAAATAGCATTTAACGGTATACAAATGAGTGACAAAAAAATACAAAATTTGTGACAAATGAATAATCTGAAGCATTGATTTATCTTGAAGTTGATGCTTGAAGCTCTCATGGTCGAATGCATTAACCAAGGACGATAATGACGATCGTTTTGGTCGTCCTGAAAGTCACTCGGTGCATCGCAGACACAATTGTATAAGATGCAGACGATCGTTTACTGACATTATACAGAGTACAGTACAATTGAGATTAGGGCTTACTGATATGCTTTTATGCAAATAATATTGATGTGACAAGTGGAATAGTCAATAAGTAACTCTCGCTTGAAGTTGCTCATTTATAAAAAAAAGTGTATTTTTTCGTTCGAAGGAAGTTTCATGATTAATCATTAATCTCCAACATCTATAATAAAGTCCATATCAGATTGTACAAAAACATTTTGTGTGTTTGTGTTAAATAATATTCAAAAGTGTTAAAATCTTTATGTTAAAATAATACAATTTACTAATAAGTGAGCAATTAAAAATAATGTATTTTAAAACATAAATTCTAAGATAAAACGTGTGATAAAACATATAAATGTTAATTTTATTAAGGAAATATTCCTCTACAACTTATTAAATTGTATTATATTTTTTTTGTTTATTTTTACATAATATTTATATTATTTCCTAATATATTTATCTTGTGTTAAATTAACATACAAATTTAAATGGATTTTTTAGAGCACGTGAAGTGTGTATTTAACACAAATTTTCCAATGATGTATGCATTGAATATTGAACATTGCAAGTTGAACATTTTAAAATTTAAATAATCAGGTAATTTTAATTTTTATTTATTTCGTTCTGATTAGTTGAATTCGAATTTCCAATGCGAACTTTAAAAAATTAGAACCTTCACAATATTTGAACCTTCAAATTTGGATAAGCGAAATTATTTTAACTCCAACAATATTATGATATCAAAACTTTATTAGTTACGCGAATACATTAGTTTTCTATATGATAGCAAAGATATTTTGCCACTCGAAAATATGCGAATTTTCATGTTTCGTAATGCCTAATTTTTTTACACGAGCTTTTTAAAAACCGTTCAATTTCGGCAAAACGTAGAAACTTGTTTGCCTGCCCAAAGCGATGAAAAAGGAGACCATAAATCTGCGGACAGTCGCGTGGAAGCGAGACAACGAACATAAAGCATCGTTCCTACCTACAGATAAGTCTTTTGATCAATATAGTCAAGGAAATTAATTAGTCTGTGAAATTGGTTTTATCGGTACCGCCTATGTTTTAAATGATCTCTCAAATGATCCTCTGCATTTCTGATATTTAATGACAATTCGTATCTCCAGCTATTTCGGAATATCTGTCAGATAAACATGCACCTTAATCCTGTTACCGGCATTTCGATCCCTTCCCTATCTACTAAACTCCCCACTACAAGCACGAATATCCAACTAGGTGCGCATGCGCCCGATATTTCCCAGTAGCTCCGATCGGTCGGCCAATCAGGCGCGCCGGATGGCGACATCACCGGCCAATCGGCGCTGCGTTCGATGACGACAGCGCTATTTTCAGCCGGCGTGACTCACGGGATATAAGCGAGTACGTTTAGTTGGATGTTCACAAGTTGTCGGGCCACCGTGGCGGACAGGGTGATCCGCGTTCGCGCAAAACACGTCGCCGCGATCCCGTCGTGCTACGGCAACGTTATCATTCTGTGGAGCAGAAAGACGGCACCACGTTGTGTCGTGAGTCATTGTTGTGTTGACAATCGAAGCAGGCGGGAGGCAGGAAAGAGAGCAGACAGGCGAGCAGGCAAGCAGGCAGACAAGCAAGCAAGCAAGCAAGCAGGTTGCCGCTTCTCAGCACAGACCGGTTGTTGTCGCATCGGCGTAGTGCACGTCCAAGACGTGCGTTAAACATCGCTGCCTTCTGTACCGATTTTAGTCGACTTTGGTCGACTTCGCTTGTATCAAGTGTCACCCGCGCCGAGGTGATTGGTGCGCGATATACGCCGAGTGACGTGACGGTGGGACGGACGGAGGTGCGGCGTGGAATAAGAAAAGACGGCAGTCGTACCGCGAGTGAATTTTTTTGCGTACAGCCGCTCGCGGCTGTTATGTAATCGCTGCAGCGCGGAGCGAAGTGTTTGCGCGTGACGTAGGCAAAGAAGGAGAGAGAAAGAGAGAGAACGTGAAAGACGACGGAGAACGTCGCAGAACTCGTTGACGTGTTGAAACTTTAGGAAAATCCGTCGTTCTATTTAACTCTTCGGGCCGGCTTAAGCGAGTCGTGTGCCACTCCGGGGGGAACGACCGCTTTCCCGTCCGGAGGCGAGAAATTAGGAGTCGAGGGTAAAACCTCGGTATTCCCTAATCGAGGAGAGTTAATTAGTCCAGCGGCATCGATGGTGCGCAGCCTAACGATGGAGCAGACGTTCTACGAGGACGCGAGCATTTACGGTGCGATGAACGGTCGCGAGAACAGCGTGGTCCAGCTGAAGCGGAATCTCACGCTCGACCTGAACGGTTGCCAGAGGCAGGGCTCGCAGGCGAAGAGGCCACGGTTGGGCCCGCTGCCACCCGCTCTGAACAACGTCACTCCGATTCTAAGCTCGCCGGATCTCAACATGCTGAAATTGGCTTCACCCGAGCTGGAGAAACTGATCATGACGCAACCGGACGGTCTGGTAACCAGTCTACCCACACCGACCACCCAGATCCTCTTCCCCAAAGCGGTCACTGAGGCCCAGGAGTTGTACGCGCGCGGCTTCGTCGACGCGCTCAACGAGCTTCATCACTCCGACAGTTCGCAGGAACCCGGCAGCATGCACGGCGCAACGTACACGACCCTGGAGCCGCCCGGTAGCGTGCAGAGTACAGAGTCCACCATGAGCAATCCCGGCCTGGTGCACGTCAAGGACGAGCCGCAGACGGTGCCGAGCGTGTCGAGCACGCCACCGATGTCGCCGATCGACATGGAGAACCAGGAGAAGATCAAGCTGGAGAGGAAGCGGCAGAGGAACCGCGTGGCCGCCTCCAAGTGCCGACGGCGCAAACTCGAGCGCATCTCCAGGCTCGAGGACAAGGTCAAGCTGCTCAAGGGCGAGAACACCGAGCTGAGCGGCATCGTGCACAAGCTCAAGGAGCACGTGTGCCGGCTTAAGGAGCAGGTCATGGACCACGTGCACGCTGGCTGTCAGATCATGACCGTCAACAACCAGTTTTGAACCTCCAGATCGCTCTCTCCCTCCCCAATCGAGGAGGGATGACGAACGAGCCAACCCTCGTCCCGCTCTCGGCCACCCCTCGAGGATTCGCTGTCACCGTGCTCATCATCTTCTTGCCCCATCGCGAAGGTAGTTTTCGCGAATAGAACGAACAGTGAACTTTCTTACAACTACGGCCGGTGTGTTGGATCTCCTTTTCTACGATTGCGATCGAAAGGGAAATTCTCGGCTGGCGCCATAGGCTTATCGTTCGGAAATGTCTCTCTTCTTATCTCAACCACACGAATTCTTTGTTTCTTTTACGATATCAAGAAGAAAAAAAAAGTTTAACTATGTCCTTCGATATCGCCAAAGAGTTGAAGACAGAAGAGGCGGTATTTTCGACGAGTGCAGGATAGTTCCATCGTCATCCCGAAGAAGGAAAGAAGGGAGGGAGAAAAGGAGCGAGTCCATCGTTCGCTGTTTTTTTCTTTCTTGGCTCTTTTGTGACATGATCGGGGAGGAGACGATCATACAACGATGGCAAGAACAGTAAGCAGCAGGCGGAGCAGGAGGAGGAGAAGGAGGAACAGGAGGAGGAGGAGGAGGAAGAAGAGGAGGAGGAAGAGGAGGAGGAGGAGGGGGGAGGGGGAGGAGGAGGTAGTGATGGTCGTGGTGGAGAAGGAGGAAGGAGTGCCTTCGTACACAACGTGAAACGTAAAAGATGCTTTTAAGAGAGTGGCAGGCGTGCGCGCGTGCGTGTTGCGCGCATGCGAGAGACTTTACACGCACGAGCAGGCGAATGCGTGTATCATATGCGAGAGAGAAAGAGAGAATGTATGTAATAGGGAGAAAATGTATGCATGCAGAGAGAGAGAGAGAGAGAGAGAGAGAGAGAGAGAGAGATCGCGCGAGGTAGCACGAGGGGGAGTATCGCGGCGGCCATTTTGGAGAACGCGAGAGAACCGGCGGGAGATTCAAAGCTACCGAAAGTTGTCCAAGTAAACATCAACTAACAGTAGCATAACTGTTATAATTTCACCCTCAGTAACATAACTGTTATATATAACATGTTGTATCACATCTATCAATCAAATCGAGAGGTTATGTTTATTTTTTACTGAATGCACTTTCGTGAAACAGACTCGAGCATTCCGATAGTCTTGTAAACTTCTACCTTGGTGCATACAAAATTTCGCATTATATATAATGTTACGTTATCTTCAATGTGAAATTGTAACATTGATGTTACGTTACTATTGGTGTTTACCGAGTGAAGCTTTTTTCTTTCCTCCATCTTTCTTCCCTTCGTTGTCGAGCAAACGATCGTCGTCGTCATCAACGATTCGCTCCGTTTTCAATTTCAGGACGCTTGAAATTTTGCGTCCAGGAGATCAATAGAACAGCTATTAGATCGATAGAAAGCGAAGGACTCCTTCTTTCTTTCTCGGCAGTGAACGGCAGTGCCGATTTTCTTCTCTACGCGGACTCGCATACTCGGTTCGCTTGTACAGTTTCGATATGGGATACGTTCGCTTTGCTAGTGACATAAATCAAGTTTCAAAAATTGTTCCTTTGACACAAATACACTCCCGAATACGCGCGAGGTGGTTTTTAAGCCTCGTGCCAAGTTGCGAGGATCGATTCGTCGAGTATCGACGATCCTCGCGTTCATCGCCGGCTCTTTTTTTTTTTCGATGCGAACGAGGGAGACGACTGTGTATTTTTGCGAATCAATCAAAACGAGAGATTCTCATCTTTGGAACCGGAAGGAACCACGCGACCGATTACATGTGATAAGCGCAATCAAATCGAGAGATCACGTTTGCCTTTTACCGAATGCACTTTCGCGAGAGAGACTCGAGCATTCCGCTAGTTTTGGAAACTTCTACACTTTTGGTGCATATAAAATATTGACAAATTAATTAATTCTAAGGAGTAATATATTACGGTGCTGTACTATAGCCGCGCAGAAACGTGCATTAGGGCAGTTGTAATAACGCGTATTTTAACGTATCGGGCGACAGAATCGATCGACGACTATTCGAAGTGTCGAAACGAGCTTGATTTATTAAGTAGCGTGTGTCTCGCGTAATTCTTTTTAAATAAATAGAAACACAGTTTCAAATTTTTACAATAAAATATATATTTGTCTATATCGCGAAAAGATTGAATCTTAGACAATGACAAATTAAAGTATTTTTCTAATTGTGATCAGTGAAATTATGTGTACATATAATATTATAAAGAGGCACAATCCTTTGCGCCGAGTATATATGTAAAATTTTTTAATTGTTAAAATTGTAAAAATATGTACAGATTGTTTCAGTATCTTCCATATGTACGTATTTTAAACCGCTTGATTGAAGAATCATTTGAATAAAGAGATATCTATGCTATGTTGAGAACTATCGGCAGAGAAGACGCGTTTGCTATAATCATATGCCTCGCCCCGCGTGCAATTAATCGCGATTGACATTGTTCGATATTTCTTCTAAGATGGTCGATATTTTTCTCCGACGTGCCTCGACGTCATTTCGCCTGCAACGCGCTGATCGGACGGTACCGAAGTAGCCTCGTTTTTAAATCCGCTTTTGGAGAAGAACTAGCGCTATTAAGGCTGTACAAATAGAGTAGTGTTTGAGAGCAGTCGTGCGTATTGAACCTGTCAAAGAATCGTCATTCTGGGCGAAAAAAAAAATGGACGCGGTGTGAGGGATTGTCCTGCAATCGCCTGACGCGTGCCTATTAATCTAGATTACGCTCGATTACCGACGTACAAAGTACCCGAGGCGAATCACGCGTAATTATACGATCGATCGGATCACGCTTATCATCGTTATACAGGATAATCGAGAAAATTGGTTCCAACTAGTCTGGCTCATCCAAACCGATCCAACGCGAACCATGAAAAAATGATTAATCAAACAAATAAATTTTGCTACTAAAAAATTCGAAAATCAATTTTCTACGCGGAAAGAAAGATTTTGCTTGAAAAATTTACAGTAATAAATGATTTGTTAAGACCGTAATGTGAATACACAACAAGTAAGAATATTAAAAGTCTATTAATGATCGAAGCTGGATTTTTAATGCTTTAAATAATTCAATGTGAATTAAAAAAATTAGCTCAGATCTGAAAGTAATTTTGTTAGATTATCAAAATAATTATGTAGAATGCTTAAACGTTATTGACAATGTTGTAAAAAGTTGTAACACTCTATCTAGTAACCAGTTTGAGCGTCTTATATAATTATGATATCGATGGTCCAAATAAAATTATTCTCAAATCAATATCCAGCTAAAATTTTAGATACTTCATCAAATCGTTCTTTCTACGTGAATGAATTCGAACGGCGAATGACGTACTTAAAGATACGGAAAAATAATTAAAATAGCCTCGTATTATGCCCGGTTTTATTGGTACACCGCGTCCATTCGTGCGATAGGAAGCCCGAAATCTTTCCCTTAGCTCTTAAGCCGGAGACGGCCAGCGAGTCACGTTCTCCTCTTGGTTCTTCTGCGCGTTTCACAGCGCGTAGAACTCCATTTCGTCATATGTGCATCTAGTCTTGTCCAGTATGCCCTTGTAACTTGCGCGCGACGCGTATGCGTGAGCCGCATACCGCACACACACATACACTTATACATGTGCAGATCCGGGATGCACATACGCGTACACAACAACACGGTGGTCGTCGCGACCGCGTTCAATCACGTGTCGCAAGCTGCACGGCGTCGGGAGGCGTCGCGACGCCGGTCATCTGCGATATCGGACTCGCCATACTGGAACCGGCAGGCGTCCACGTTGCTGGAAATACACACTCGTTTCTCTTACGACATACGGAACGGCTTTGTCGAATATCCAAGAGTTTAGCTAGCTATATATACACGCAGAGAATTTTATCTTTACTCTGAGAGTTTACTCTGAAAATATGATAGTTGTGGGACAACATTATATTTTCGAAGAATTTTTATGTAAACTTATTAATAAAACTACAATAAAGTATAAAAATCTTTAAAATATTGTATTGTATCACAACTACTGTATCTTCAGGGTAAATTTTAAAAGAATATTCTCTCCGTGTAGATTTAAAAATAATTGCCATAATCAAAATAATTGTACATAAGACACTTCAAGCAAGATAGATGAGATTTACGGGTTATCTCCGTGTCTTGATATATCGTTAAATGCAAACGTTTCTTAAACATTGCATGTTCATTTCACCAGGGCGAGAAGTAATCCGACACTGCCCAGGTATGATGATACTGCAAAAAATTTTAACATTCTAGCAACTTGAGCTTCTACCAGCTTCATCGTCCAATATTTTGATGGTCTGACGTAATTACTTTCTGTATCTAGCTAAATTTTTAGACACTTCAGCAAAGTTCTTTCTGTGCACGCACATTCACTACTGAATCGTACATCCCCCGTACTCTTGGCGCACACGAGATATCGTATAATACATTTTGATACGAAGACCGCGTAGGCTGAGCCCGAGAACGCACGCAAGTTATTGTTATCGTGATGATATCGGCAATAAGTAAACCTCCTATCTCTTTGCACGGGAAATATCCCTGTACCGGATGTTCAGCTTAATCTCTCCGTTCGGTTACACTAGTCAACAAATAAAAAATGTTTTTCATAATATCAAACAGAGCGGTTTCTTAATCATTTTCGTTCATTGAATATCAGTCAAACTTTGTAACATGTACAATCTTTTTGTTATTGAAATATTTATCAGAACGTCATTTTTCATAAAAATATCTGCTTTACTTTGCTTTAGTCTTTTATACTCTAACTTTTATCTCACGAGACAGATTTAAAATTTTCCTTTCAACCGTGTGAGAAGAGATTTACATAACAATGTATATAGCACGCAAGAGAAACTTAATTTTTATCCTGTTCTTTGACAATTGTAAGCTGCAAGCTTTTTTCAAAATTTTTATAAGCGATGTATTTTTGTGATAATGAAAGAATCCTACGTATAACATAATTTCTTTGGCACATTTATACAAAATCTGAGAGCGAATGTAGCAGAGAGAGAAAGAGAGAGAGAGAGAGAGAGAGAGAGAGAGAGAGAGAGAGAGAGAGAGAGAGAGAGAGAGAGACTTACTGGTCTGCTATGCTAGAGATTCCGGGTTCGATTCCCGGGAAAACTAAAATATTTTCATACATTCGTTCTTCTCTCGGAAGGAAAGAGCAACTCACCGAGAGTATCCTTGCCAAGAATACTTTTCTAAACAAAAACTTCGTCCGTTCCGGACATTCAGACACGAGCACTAAACGAGGACTAAAGAGAGATACAAAATCTGGGAAGAAGTCGCTATATTTAAATCTTCAAGTATTAAAATCTTTTTGACTACATACAAGTAACATGCTACAACTTTTTGAATTATTACATTAATTTGATATTTTTTTATTACAAAAATATAGCCAATTTTAATAAATATGTAGATCAATACTGTCAACTAAACATTTATTTAGAGTAAATAAGTGTACGACATAGAATGCCATAATTTCGGTCAAAGTTAGATGTTTCGAATAATACAATTAAATAAATTTATTTCAGATATGATTGCGCGCCGATAACTTTCAACACAATCAGTCTGAAACTAATCTCCAACTTTTCTTTAAATTAAATTTAGAAAAACTGTAAAGACATTATTGCGAAAAATATTACCTCAGCCATTTTATGTATGTTATATAAAAATAAATAATATATGTTTAATAAGAAAAAAATGGTTCTATCAAAGAAATAAATATTTTAATAAATATTTCGCTGGCAGTATTCAACTAAATATTTTAAAAAGTGACATTCTTTTCTCAATGTAGATATGAAAAATAGAGTCAACAAAGAAGCACAAAATGTAAGTTTTATCAATATCGGAACTTTGTTGACCAGTGTTATCCGTAAAGTTATCAACGATCCAAGAATTTTTAAATAACAATTGTTACTGCGCTCTCTTCAAAATGCATTTCGAAGAACTCGGATATAATCGAACGGAAAGATTGGAATGGGACACCTTGTAGAGGGGAGCGAGCAATAACAAAGCAATCTTACCTCCGTTTTGCGCATTATCTAACGCGAGACGGATCGCGCGCGCGTGATCGCGAAGAAAAATACTTCACAAGCGGGAACGGGGAAAAATATCGCGATTACGTTGCGCAATCTTTCGCGAATAATGTCCTCGTCCCCGTAACTTTGTCCAAGACAATTTCCGAGTCTCTTGTCGGCGTAATCAGAGCAGTGATCGGAAACAATTATTTGATAAGAGCGACTATCGTGATAAAGGGATCATGTGAAAAGAGACGAGTGATTTTTTTTTTTCCGCTTTGTATCGTTTCGCGGGGATATTTCTGGATGAAACAAAAATCGACGTTCGATTAGAGCGAGGATTAAGCAAGTCAACTCTAAGATCTGTCGCTCGCGACGAAACGCACGCGTCTTTCTTCGTGCGGACGTTGCGTAACGCCGTCGCGCGAAATCTAACGGGTGTGCCCGACGCGAGCGGGGACCACACCTATCGATTTATCTGCGATCTCGTATCTCCTCGGCACGTTAGAAGAAAATATATTTTACCAATAACGTTTCTTTGACCGATGTTTTTAAGTGGGCAAAAATCTTTTTTTTCCGCGCGACTCGCACGAACTCGTGTATGTCGGACGATTTTTTAGACGCGAGAATGGAGCTTCAATCAAATTAATTAAGCGCGCTGAAACGATAGGCGAATCGGCCCTCTTCGCGACGTAAATCGCGATCGATCTTTTACAGTACACATTTACGACTTA